ATGGCAGTGGTTCTCCACCTTTTTTCTCGCTCGCAACCCTTAAAAAATTTTAAAGTGTCCCCGCACCTCTAATAATTTCCACTCTGTATCTCTACGGTGAGTGTGTGCAGTGCAGATAAGCGTTCACCATTAGAGTACGCTCTAGTCTTTTCAAAAAGATCCACGTTAAAATCCGGCCTCGCCTACTTTACACACACGTATGCATTGCACTACGTGCTCGCCGACTTTAATGTATAAAAAATGAAATGTCATTTCGCATGCTCTGGAATGCTATCTCGCACCTCTGCTTGCGATATCCAAATTTAGGGGATAAGTTTAGTAAGTCACGCCTTCTGTCGTTCGCTGGTTTTGTTTCCCGTAAGCTACATTTGTCGCTCCTCCCATTCTTATATCTCTCTCATTGTGTCCCATTCTTGTCCGGTTCATCCGTTTGTTTTTGTTTGAAGTGCACAACAACTTCAGTATCGATACTGATAATAACTATCTAAAATGTTCAAATGAACCATACTTCAAACGTCTTCTTATTCAAGCACTATTTATTCAGTTCAAAATTATGGTATTTTCATATTCGCTGACGAGCGATCTCATTGTTTGTTTATTATAGTTGACGTTATTGGTGGGGATTAATGTTTCAATTTATATTATATGATAGCGAATGCAAAATGGTCTAGTTCAGGAAAATAACGGAACTTCGAGGTGAATTCTTCTACGTACCCTGGGCAACCCCCCTCCCCTCTCCTCACTTTTGGATACGCCATTGGTGATGATAGGGAAGGAACGATTTGAACTTAAAATGTACCAACCGTAAATGTACCAATCTATACAAATTTGTAAATGTATTCAGCTAAATCATTTCATCCATTCCTAGTGACTCTTATCAGCTGTTATCAGCTCCTGTCAAGCTCGTCTTCTTATTATTGTTCTTTTTGATGATTCTACTGATGGATTTTGTCCTTGCTTTTTCACCCCAAAATTTCATTGTGAACACCCAGCATCGTTAAATGGTACTGATTACAGCAGATATTCCGAAGACAATATGGGAGCATAAATTAGTAGATGTGACCACTAAACATGAATAGCAACATCAGAAGCAAATAGAAGGACTGACTGATGACTGCTTGACTTATCAATTCACTGTATATGTGCAAGTAAGTATTACTGTATTAATGGAATGAACGGCTAAAAGTAATATTTTTTATGCTCGATAACAGTTGTTCATTTAGTTGAGATATATGTACTTATAGGTATGTACCATGACATCATTATCTTTGCTATCCTAGTGATGATAATAGCAATAATAATGATAATAATATAAGCAATGATAATATTAGTACTAGCAGAACGGTAGAGCTGTCATCAAGCAAAGGAAGTATTGTGTTGTATTTTATATATATACGGACATATGTAATTGATTAACAGAAATGTGACAGATATAGTTCAAATGAGTACAGTACCTACAATAGGTGCTTGTATATAATGAATGAAAGAAATCAACTTTTGTTGACGTGTTTTACAAGTGAACGAATGATGAGTGGTTACTGAATTGTGAACAGAATATACGAATTAGATACAAAATGTGATTTTGTTTGTTTCCGATTGATTAATTTCTGATTTGAGATATTATGTGTACATAGTTGACATAGTATATTGCGTTGATTTGAACGGATTTATTAATTTAGATAGTTGCAGTAATGGTGTTATTGTTAAAGTACTTGTGAAGCTATTTTTTAACGGAACGTATCATTATCACTGTTACTGTTATTATTAGGGATGTTATTATTAGTATTGTTTTTATTAGCATTACCCTGATTACTTTGAACAATAGTGCACGACGCTTTATTATGAATGAGCCATTTTACAAGTGGTTGTCATCAGCCGGTGATGGATTGATTGCATGTTGTTGTTGTCGTTAACTGAGTATTGTAGAGAAAGGATGAGACAAAAGGAGTTAATTAATTAATTGTCTTTTCATTTGCCGTCTTCTTCCCCATTCATCCATCCACTTGTCGTTTCTCCCTTCCTGTTCATGTCCTTGTACTCCCTCTCCCCTCCGCATCCTAAACCTCGACCGTCGTTTCAAAATATTTTAACCGAACGAACGAATGAGCGATAAGTACGTCCGATGAGTACGTACTTATCATAGAATTATAAGCATCCTTCTTACAATTAGTATTTCATAAGATTCTGGTAATTTCAACTCATTGGCGTATGATGAAGAGAAATTAAGTTTCGAATTATGTGAAATCGTTAATTGCGCACTTTTTTCATTGTTTGTTGACAAAATGTATTGTGAAGTGTGAGAAATCAGTTGAGATTGAGGTTGAATGATGTACAGTAAGTAGTGGTATACAGTGGTTTGATGGTCGATAGGTGACATTTTTTGGTTTGTTTGATTTGATTCGATTTCAATGAGAGTCTCTCTCTGAAGGAGAATCAGAATTGACTGGCTGGACCGACTATTTGACTGCTTTAATTCATTCGTCGTGTCCACGAGCAATTTAAGACATGAAGGGCTGAAATTTAGATGCTTGAAAAGTTGAGCTTAGGCTAGAAATATGAAACTTGAAACTAGAAGCGGGCTTAAATCAGACTTTGTTTTGTATTAATGCTTAGTTCATTTTCGTTCTACCTAAGTATTTCGTTTATTTATTGAGTATTAATGATGAGTGTTGTTGTTTATTTTACAATTGTTGTTTTTAGATTACTTATTTCGTTTCAGTTGTATCATTCAAATGTACATTCTAGTTGTTGTGTGAACATATTTTCATCATAAGTGATTTAATAGCAATTCTTGAGTTAGTGGGTCATTAGGCAAATAAAAACTTATATAAATAGATAATTAATACCTTTAGGTAGCCATTATTTTGAAGTATCTTATCGAACCTCTCAACTTTGGTAGCAAATCTTTCAGCTTGTCTCTCTCTTTTTTTATTCGTGGAAAAGAGATCATAAATGGAGTACGAAAGATCATTGGAATTAAAAAGAGCTGGGATAAAGAAAGAGGATGAAAGGAACGATGGTATGTTTGTGATGATGATGAGTAAGTGATTGAAGAGAAAAAAAGAAACTTATATGGTTGAGTAGGGAGTTTGATGATTAAGTTGATTGAACAAATATAAGTAGATGGATGATGGTGACGCAATTGTTGGATTTGGAATTAGCATGGATTTGAAGTGAAGTGACGTGTAGAGAGAGAATGAAACATTAATATTTTGACAGATAATCTGTTTGATTGGTTTGTTTGCTAAGAAGTTGTTGAGAGTGTTGATGAGTAGCTCAGAATGTTTTTGAGGACATTTTAGCAAGATTACATAAGTATTTTTTAATTTTTGCTCTTGTTGTTATCACGGTTGCTTGTAATCAATTTCATTTGAGATGGATGAAGGTGAAAATATTGAGAAAGAATATTAGCCTGAGGTTGCAGGTCAGACAGGTTAGAGATGATTATATTGCTATTGAGAAAGTGGGGAGATTTTGAATAGAATTGCTGGACTGAAATGAATAAATAAGGATGATGCGAAATGAGTTGATAGGTGAATGGTGTTTTTTAACAGTACTTTTGAGAAGTTAATACTGTGCAAATTTGGAGGATTTCTGAATTGTGGTGAGGGTTACTCGTATATGATAATGTTGTTGGAGTTTGTAGTTGTCCACTTTTTATTATTGGAAACTAATGATGTAATAGTAAGTAAATAGTAATAATAATAATAATAATAATAATAATAATAATAATAATAATAATAATAATAATAATAATAATAATAATAATAATAATAATAATAATAATAATAATAATAATAATAATAATA